CGCATACCAAACGGGTTATTTACGGCCCGTATACGGTCGTAATTTCGACGGATACGGCCGTTCACGTCATCGTAAACGACTGTGTACGGCCGTTTACGGGCATAGTAATGTTCGACCTGGGTTCCAGTCAAAACTGAACAAGTGTAAACTGAGAAAGAAGAGCCAAGAAAAAGTGATTTCAGAGTAGGCATCCTTTGTGAATGGCCCCTTAACGCTTTACAATATATATTATTTATTTGCTTTTCCTTTTTTCGGTGCCCATAAAATTGTTTTTTTTCTTACTAAGTCTCATTAAAAATGACGAATTTTTCAGCGTAGTTCTTATATCTTATCGGCAGTATAAGTTAGAAAGCTGAAACCTGATGTTGTATAAAGGCGATTCTGCTGGTACCTGTGACAAATTAAAAAATATATTCAAATTCGTCAAGAAGAACAAAAATAATCAGATAAAATATAGCTTGGATCCTAATTACAGTATTAAGTTACAATTCATTCATATATTGAAGTATATGATAACATATTTTAGATATTTATTGCTTGTTTGAATACAACTTGGTGCGTAAATCAATTAGTGCCAAGTTTAGAAAAGTTCGCTGATGCTACTGCTTCTAGTTCATTTATATTCGAAACAATATCACAGGTTTTATATGGATTATTTAATGAAAAAAGAATAATGCTATTTTATTTTCTTCATAAGTAGAAATCAAAAATTGATGCATCAAAAATAGATGAAGGAGCAAAACCATCAACACTCAAAGGTGAAATTAAATTAGAAAATGTTGTATTTACTTATCCAGCTCGTCCTGGGCAACCGGTTTGTTTATTAATTTCTGAGATATAACAAAAATAAATATTTTCTATATTTATAAAAAAATGATTATAGGTTCTTAACAAAATTAATATTACTATTCCGAATGGTAAAAGAATAGCTTTCGTTGGACATTCTGGATGTGGAAGTAAGAATTATTAAAGATTGATTCCCAAAAATCCTTATTTTCTTCTTCTGCGTACTTTAGAAAGTACTACCCTAGCTTTAATACCTCGTATGTATGATCCAGATTCTGGTCGAGTAAGAGAGAGAGATAATGAATTTATTGGCATAAAACGAATGTTTTTACCAATTTTAGGTATTATTAGATGGTCAAGATATTCGGCAGTTGAATATAAAATGGCTCCGTTCAAATATTGGTTATGTTGGACAAGAACCTGTGTTATTTTCAGGCTCAATTAAAGACAATATTCGATTAGGTAAACCGAATGCAACAGATGTAAGAATAATTGTTTTTTTTTGTCTAAAAAACATAAAAACGGGAAATGATATTTTTTATTTAAATTAGACTGAAGTATATGAAGCTGCTAAAATGGCTAATGCTCATGAATTTATTCTAAATTTACCTGAACAATATAATACATCAGCTAAAGGTACGCTAAGCGGTGGACAAAAACAAAGAATTGCTATAGCTCGTGTAATAATTTCTAACCCTAAAATTCTACTTTTGGACGAAGCAACCTCAGCATTAGGTAAAATCTTAAATATTTTCTAATATTTTCTATTATTTCAATATAAATAGATAATAAAAGTGAAGAATTAGTACAAAAGGCATTAAATAACGTTAGTATTGGTCGGACAACAATTATTATTGCACATCGACTTACAACTATTAAACATGTTGACCTTGTATTAGTTTTCGATAAAGGAAATATTGTTGAACAAGGTACACATGATGAATTAATAAAACTTGAAAATGGCATTTATCGCACATTGGCCACTCAGTTTGGTCTAGAAGAAGATATTGATAAAGAAAAACAATTATTAAATAGTTCTTTATGTAAATAATAAATAACATTTGTTTTTTACAGTTGAAATTATTCATTTCTTGTTTGTTAGCGCCAACATTCCAGCGCATATCATCCGTTAATTCTGAAAAAGTACCATCTCACGAAAAAGAAGAAGAAGAAGAAGAAGAAGAAGAAGAAGAAGAAGAAGAAGAAGAAAAAAAGAACGTTAGTGATAATGAAAATGAAAGTGATAAAATCGAACAATCTTGTTGTCATACACCGCTCTTTATTAAATTACTTAAACTTAATTCACCGGAAAAATTGTATTTATTTGTTGGTTGTATATGTGCTTTTCTTTTTGGTGGTGTTGAACCAGCGGTTGGTCTAATATATTCAATTGTATATGGTCTTTTAGCATATCCAAATCTTGAAGATCAATCATTACGTACACGAAATCTAGCATTAGGTATTTTTGGTGTTTATGTTTTTGGTGGTATTTTACAATTTCTTAGTACAATAACATTTGCTAAGGCAGGTGAAGAATTAACATTACGTTTACGGTTATTTACATTTGAAGCAATGTTAAGACGTGAAATAAGTTGGTTTGATGATGAACAAAATAGTGTTGGATCGCTAATTACTCGTCTTTCAAGTGATACAGCTGCTCTTAAGGTAAAAGTTTTATTTTGTTTATTTGTTATTTATTTTTTAATTATGTTTCTATAGGGGTTAACTGGAACTCGAATGAATGTACTTTTCTCATCATTAGGTGCCGTTATTTTAGCAGTTATTTTTGCATTTATGGCTGGTTGGAAATTAACTTTAGTAGTTTTATGTTTTACTCCATTATTAGTACTCTCTGGTTATTTACAAGGACGAACACAAGCAAAAGCAGGTCAATCAAAAACAGCTAAATCATTTGCTGAACTGGGTGGAAAAGCAAGTTTTTGAAATCTTTTTTATTTTTCGATTACTGTTTTAAATAATTTTATTTTTATACAGTATGCAGTCGAAGCTATTCAAAACATTCGTACTGTATCAGCTTTTAATCAAGAAGAATTTTTTATTAATAAATACATAGATGCATTTAATAGTGATTTTAAGTAAGTAGAATAAAGAAAAACAATTTTTTAAAACTATTTGTAATGTTTTTTTTAAACTGAATTATTAGGTCACGAATGTTTAAAATACAAATACAAGCATTAGGAAAAGCGATTGCAAATTCATTTTTATATTTTATTCAAGTTACAGCATTCAGTTACGGAGCAACTCTTGTTGAAAATTCTGAAATGAGTTTCGATGAAGTCTTTCGTGTATTTATTGTTATTAATTTTGCTTCAATGTCTATTGGTAGAAGTACATCAGCAATGCCTGATTACAACCTTGCAAAAGCAGCAGCACACCGTATTTTAGCGTTACGTGATCGAAAATCAACTATTGATCCTTATGATAGAAAAGGTTCTAAGCTGGTAAATATGGATATAAAAATCTGATAAAATTTATCATTAATGTTTGTTTCATTTAGAACAATCTTCAAGGAAATATTGAATTTCATGATATTGACTTCGCCTATCCAACAAGAGCAAAACGAGTTGTACTTAACAAATTTAATTTGACTTGTTTAGAAGGACAAACAACAGCGCTAGTTGGTTCATCTGGTTGTGGGTAAATGATATTTTTGATAGTATTGGCTATAATGTATATACTGATACTATTTTGTTTTTAGTAAGAGCACAACTATTTCTTTATTACTTCGTTTCTATGATTCAAAAAATGGGCAAATTCTATTGGATGGTCAAGATATACGAACACTAAATGTAAATTGGCTTCGTTCACTCATTGGTTTTGTTCAACAAGAGCCAATACTATTTGATCGTACTATTCATGAAAATATAGCATATGGTATTAATGATCGACAAGTATCATCGGAAGAAATTCAAGAAGTTGCTAAACAAGCTAATGTTCATGGTGAAATAATAAAATTTCCAAAAGTGATTATCTTTCATCTACATTTAAAAAAAAACATACATTAATGAATTATAGGGTTATGATACTCATTGTGGAGGTCCTGGAGATACACAACTTAGTGGAGGTCAAAAACAAAGAATAGCAATAGCTAGAGCACTTTTGCGAAAGCCAAAAATACTTTTGCTTGATGAAGCAACTTCTGCACTTGATAATAAATCTGAAGGAGTAAGCTATTTTTGAATAATGCATATTTATGTTTGATTATTTTACTTATCATTTATGTTTAATTAAGATTGTGCAAAATGCAATCGATAAAGTTCGAACAGGTCGTACATGTTTAACCATTGCTCATCGATTAACAACGATCCAAAATAGTGAAAAAATTGCAGTAGTTGAATATGGCAGTGTGCGAGAAGAAGGTCGGCATGAAGAACTTTTGAGACAAAAAGGTTTTTACTATAAACTTCATCGAGCAGCTGAACAACGACATGCATGAGAATGATAGATATATCATTAACATCTTAAGCTTAGTTTTTCATTCTACTCAAATGATCTTAAAAGCTGGTGTATTTTATATACGGAAGATATATTATTTATATCTTTAAAATAATATTCACGACTACAGTTGTTGTTTAATTTAATTTAGATAAAATAAATATAATTTACATTTTTTTAAATAATATTTGCCGTCGTAGTTGTCGTTGAGATCAATCTAAATGTAAGAAAAAATGATATTATATTTCCAAAGCAATGCTTACAGTGGCGGTACAACATGCTCTGGCGATTAGATACGGTCAACGTGTATGAACCAGAGACCAAAGCGAATAAGAAAAGCTCGATTCAAACTCGATTCGACTGGACAGCATTTCCCTTTCGGTTTCTATATTTGATATGGGCCATATACATGTCATATTTTATTATAAACTAAGCGGGTGTTTTACAACTCTATTTGGGCCATATCGTATACAGTGTATTTATTTCTGAAAATTAGATCATCATATAATGTCCTAATTATATTGTATTTGACCATAAAGTGCCGTCTTTTCGCTGTAATCAGTTATGAATCGAAGTCTCATGGAGACTTCCTTTTTTTACAGTACTATTGTGACTAAGTTTTAGCGCTCGAGTGTGACCAATTACAAACGAGGAGGAATCACTCATAACTGGTTGGTATCAGTTACACTGAATCGTACGATATGAGTAACGCAACGTACAGTAGTTGCGTATATCTACGTCGCAGTAACCACAGTTTCTGATAAAGGTTTTATTACGATCAATATGCCGCAGTTATGCGTAATTGCAACGCAGTTGGTAAAAATAAGCGACATGGGCATATATGGTCCAATTAAGGCCTCTCCATAATCGTATACAATGCATTCACATTTAAATAATATTGCAGTTTGTAGCCATAGTTTTGCTATAAGTTTTTCTATATGATGTGACGTATTATCATATTTACATGTGTGCCTAACACTAGATAAATATTACTCTAATTTAAAATATATTCCCAAAACTCAGATATTAAAATACAAATCCATTTGACACGTTGTTTGTTGTTTTATGACATTTTTTTCAAAACTATTTCATTGCCATCATGAACACTAGTTCATTCTTTCAGAAGATCGTCTTAAAAATATCGATTGTATAACAATCAGCCACGATTTTCTTTTCAAACTTTTTGATGCACACACACGTGCATGTAAGCAAAGGAAGATAGTAACGTTATTATCAAAACAAAATGCCACTAGCATTTATTCGAGAAAACTGATAGAAAGGTCCGCAGCAGAGATTTTATTATATAAAAAGAGCGACTTTTTTCTCTTTTTCAAAAACCACTATTTCACTAAAACAAGAACTCGAGAATTCATGTTGAGTTTTGTGTCTCGTTGTGTTGATGGTCACGTCATATTTGATTGATTGAGAAAAAATCAACTGATAAAAACAAGCTTACATACCACAAGAAAAAAAGCACGAAAAAATTGCTGAATATCGTTTTGCGAAGCATCTTCTCAGAAAAAAATTCTTCGGTAGACTAGAATGAATTTCGAAAACAATATCCTTTTCTTTTGATAAGCTATACAACTAGAGCAACCCTACAAAGATCGTAGAATGCATGTTTAAGTTCAATCAAAGTCTTCATGCAAGAGAATTATTGTAACAAGATTAAAACACTTTAAACAAGAACAATTGTTCTCTGAACTAACGTGTGCTTATATCAAATGAGATAAGTGCTATTGTTTTTCTTGCTATCCGAAAGTATGGGTGGGTACGGCTATAGATCTTCTATCATCACATCCTCACCTATATCTTATCCGCATACCAACCCACACCGACACATCCATACCCCACCTATACCCATACCTACATACTGATGTCCACACCATAGCCGCTATATCTACTCTTGATGATACATGGTTGTTTTAACTCATTTCATTTTGTTGATAGTTTCACATGGACTTATAATTGTACTAGAGTGCGCCTCAGTATACACTGAAAATAAAAACATAACAGGAATACAGTTGACTATTTACGAAATTCAACCCGATATGATTTAGTAGACAAAGATAAAAGCAACTATTTTTGATCAAAAGTAATAATTTTTTCTGTTTTTTCGTTTGCATGGTTCGTTTCTGATGATTCAGTGTTTTAATGTCATAGAACGACACTGGTGGAATTAGAATTGATTCGAAAGCATAGTTCGTTGTATAGAGAAGATTTTATTTGTCGCCCTATTCTGTATCTTTAAATTTTCTGTTTGTTGAAAGAGTTTTTTGTTTCATCATCTGAATTCAGAAGGACAAAATCTTTGATCGAGACTACGATAATAATATAAGAAAAATGTCTGACGCATACTTCACAATTTTGTCTATTCTGTATCACTAACAGCCTGCAGTCCAGGCAACAGGCCAGATAGTTTAGTTTTAGCCTGCTCTGCATCTCTTAAAAGCCTGCCCAGGCCAGATCGAAAACAATTGGTCTGTCGACAGCTCTGGTATGAATAGTTTTACATTAAATCATATACAAAACTTTGTTCGCCGTCGAACTATTTCGAATATATATTTAATGTAAAAGTAAATTTATTTATCAATAGTAAAAAAAAGTAGACTTTTCGTTTCGATAAATTCATCGTCAAAATCGCATAGAAAATTTCCATATTCTCATTAGACAGCTCAGAGATGGTTTAATCCTAAAACTAAGCAGTCTAATAAATTTTGATTCATTACAATTTTAGCGCCATTTTAATCACATTAGTTATCTTTATTAGCATCAATTTACTTGAAAAAATAATTTTTTTTTTCTTCAAATGATAAATTCCTTTTAATAATGCCAGGACTAAACAAATAATCATGCAAACAATTAAATAAATCAATAATATATACATATATCAGAGACAGCTACACGACAAGATAGGATATAAAAGGCTGTCCTGTGTCCACATCCGGTAGAGATTATTCTTGGGTGGCGATTTGATTATCCAAGAAAGAAGAAACAATCTTAATCCTGAATAGTTGGTTATAAATTTTATTAATTCGGTCAACATGAAAGAATCAAATACTGATAAAAACATATTTTTTTGTTTGTTTTGTATGTGGCAGGCAAAATTAAACGATATTTTAAAAGGATTCGAAACTAAAAGAATCAAAATGGATTAGAGAAAAGAACTAATCCTATATATTTATACTAGTTTATGCTCAACTTTAATTCAAGACTAGTTAAATCTAGCTAGTTACAGGGTTTCTTACTCTTCTCTATTGAAGTTTAATGTCTTAGCAAGCTTCGATTAAAAAAAGGTCTTTGACTATATAGCCTTTGAACAATATATTTTATAGCTGTTTAATAGTGTTCGAATTTTACTAGCTTCAAAGGTGATATGTAAAGTAGAAATATATGATACTGTTGACTTTTATAGAGGTATTTCCACTCGAAAAAAAGAAGGATGTTTTAGCTTAAGTAGTCTCAATGATAGAATATCAGCTACCTTCTCTCGAAATTCAATCTCCAACTAGTTAAAATGGTACTTCACTTGTACTTCATTGTACTTCACGGTATTTCACTCGTACTTCATTCTTCTTTTTGAAGTAGATGAAGTCTCACTTTTCTCTCTTGTTGTTCATGCTCTAAATAAGCATGCATGACTTCTTCTGCGTCGACATCCGAAAATGATTTTTGAAAGCATTTTTATGAACAAGCTAAGTGATATTTTGAATTTTTAGCGTAAGC